AGCAAAACTGGATTTTCCTTTTTATGATTTTATATCAATTTTCAAAGTTTCAACCAGTCTATGAAATAAAAAAAAGGAGCAAGTGGCGCCACATCAGCGTGGCCACATAGACAGCAAAGTCCTATGTGGCCTGCTTTGGATGGCGGCCAGGACGTAAACAAAGTTTATAAACCCAAATGAGCAAAAAAAAAAAGTTCATGAACTTAGGTGAGAAGTGAGGAAAAGTGTAAGGACTCACAGTGCAATTCACTCCTTTGCTAATTGCAACTCACACACGGAGAGGCACTTGGGCCTTATCCTGTACTAGTATTACTCACGCACGGACCGGGACCTTCTCAAATAAAAAAAAATGCACGGATCGGAGAGGCACCACCTGTACACCGCATCACTAAATATCGTTCCCCAATTTCGCGAGAGACAGAGAAGGCGGCCGCTAGGCTCGCGATTCGGAGTCACGCCAGCCTGAAGCGGGCGCAGGGCCTCGCGAGCTCTCAGACGAGGAGGTCCTCCACCACATCTCGGCCTGATGCGGCCGCGATGGCGAGTAAGCTCGCGATTCGGAGTCACGTCGGCCTGAATCGGGCGTGGGGGCTCGCGAGCTCGCAGACGAGGAGGTCCTCCACCACATCTCGGCCTGAGGCGCCCGCTAGGTCACGAGCTCGCTGACGAGGAGGTCCTCCACTTCATCTCCACCATCAGTACCACCACCGCGCCTCCGTTATCAATCGCTGCCCTTCGCCGAGGTCACCGTGCCCTTACGCCGAGGTGGCTGTACCCTTAAGCCGAAGTCACCGACGATGAGGTTCTTCTCTGCCGAGTATGCTATGTCCACCGAGATCATGAAGAGCTCCTCCACAAGCATCGCTGAGTTCCTACGCAAGCATCGCTGAGTTCGTACATCCCCAAACATCTTGTTACTGCTACGACTACTAAGGCAATCCAGGTATATCCCCATAGCCACCAATTATCTGAAATCTCTATTGAAATGCTGATTGATTCAAAAAGTGTTGCCATTTTTTTCTATTTGACTTGATCTGTGTTAAATAAACGGTGCTAGTTATACTATTTGTTCAGTTATAATAGGAATAATGTAGTACACACAATTGTTCAGTTTTAATAGGTATCCTTGTCTTCACCTTTTTAGCACTAGGCAACCTACATTGGCTGTAGAGAGATTTACAGTACGTGTTGCAGCCATCATGAACAAGCAGTGGATGAGAGCACCTAGGTAATACTAGTTAGAAAGTGCTCCTGTTTTTTGCTGTGTCGAGTACAAATCCGTAGCAAACTGAATTTTCATCGTTGCATCTTAGGTGGTCAGTTGAGTATGATGAAGGCCTCCGTAACTTTATAGAATTTGCCTTTGCTACGTCAGCCCAGCAGAATAGGATACCTTGTCCTTGCCGTGATTGTGGAAATAATTACTGGTTAGAGACAAAAGATGTTCGGGAATATTTAATTTCCATTGGGTTCATGGATGGATATTCATCATGGCGAGGGCTTGTCATCTGTACGGAGTCCTGCTTTGTGCTCAGAATCAAAAGACGACGATGCTGGGATTGATCCAATGGAACAGATGCTAATGGAGAGTTTTGGGATGTATGATGCCGGTGCTCTAGGGGAAGAAGGGGGGGGGGGGGGGGTGAGCAATGGATGTTTTCATCACCTTTGCCTTTAATTAAGGAGGCACTTCCAGAGGATGAGGTGTTGCCAAAGAACTTCCATGAGGCCAAGAGATTCGAGAAGGCTATGGGCATTGGTTATCACTGCATTGACGCTTGCAGAAATGACTGCATATTGTTCAGGAAAGAATATGCCAATGCCATCTCTACTGTCCCGTGTTTAAATCAAGCAGGTGGAAGAGTGTGAAAGGTGGAGTTAATGGAAGACGTGAGAGTTCCTGCAAAGGTGGTTTGACATTTTCCACTGAAGAAGAGGCTCCAAAGGTTATTCATGTCTTCAATGACAGCGCATAACATGAGGTGGCATAGCGAAAGCCGCACTAAAGATGGCTCGCCACTTCATCCGGCAGACTCTCCAGCTTGGAAGAATTTTGATGACACACACCGATGGTTTAGTTCAGAGGTTATAAATGTTAGGCTTGGGTTGGTAACTGATGGTTTCAACCCTTTTGCGAACATGAATGTGTCCTATAGTGCATGGCCTATCATCTTGATCCCATACAACCTTCCTCCATGGGTTTGCATGACGCAATCAAATTTTATTCTATCTGTTAAGTAATTTGCTGCTCCCTTGTGTGAACGCTCGGCAGGGGAAGGCGACGCCGAAAAGGCTCCCTGCTGTGGTACTATAACCACAGCAGGGGCAGGCGCCAAATGGTTCTCCAGCCGCACTATAGCCACAGCAGGGGCAGGCGCCAAAATCAGAACTGCTGTCACATCTAGTCATTGTAGCAGTATGACAGCTGTATTAGGATTAGATGGGTAGAGTTGTATATACAGTTTGCCACTGCAACTCAGTAAAAAGAGCGAGTTCAGTCTTGCCATCTCCTCTGCAGAGCGCCGGCCAACGCTGGTGCTTGTGTTGTGTGTGTGCTCTGTTCTCCCTCCCTTCTTCTACCTCTAGCCATAGTGTGTGGTCGGACAACGATAGTCGTGGTCGGCAACACTGGTGAGTGATCGACTCACCCGTGCTCGAGATCCTGTGGGCTAACAAGTGGTATCAGAGCCGTACAAGTGCCGTCGCCGGACTAACCGCTGGCGATGACGGACGGTTTGGAGATGGAAGACAGCAGCGGAACTATTGTGGTTGCCAGCCACGACAGGAGGTCGTTGTGCGCACGGTGCGGGAGGTCAGCGGCACCAGTTGGCCGACGCTGACTCGCACCAACTGTGGAGAGTGGTCGGTGACCATGAAGGTCAAGCTCAGAGCCCGACACTCTGGAATGCTACTGACAAGGGCACCGAAAACAAAGAAGAGGACATTTCAGCGTTGGAGGCTATCCTCGCTGTTGTATCGACGGAGTACAGGGAGCCGTTGGGGGTGAAAAGCTCTGCTAAGGAGGCGTACATATAGAGAAATTTCACAACTGTTTCAAGAAAGATAGATAGATAGATGGGATATGTTTCATAGCTATTTTAACCAAACAGTTTACAACTTTTCCACAGCACATAGCTCACAATAGTTTTTTCATAGCTCACAGCTAACAACAGTTGTTTCATAGATCACAACTGAACCAAACAGAGTAGTGCTTGCCTCTTTGCTTGCTTGAGTGCACTAGCAGTAGAAGTAACTTGCTACTAAAATATTTTTAATTGGCTATACACCCCCTCTAGCCATCTAGATCCTCAAGTGGTATCAGAGTCAACTCACCATTGATTTGCAAGGTATAACCACCTACAGTGTTAAAGATGACAACCAATCATGTCGGCAAGCCACCACACTTTGATGAAATAAATTATGATTATTGGAAGAGGCTCATTCTCACATGAACAAGAAGAGGGATTGGCTCATTCCCATAGGAACTCACGGTCAGGTGTGGCATTGATCCGACAATGATATCATAAGTGTCACTGCCGGTTTAAAGCATAATCCGATAGTGATATCTTAAGTTTTACTGCCGGATGATGTATTAAACCACCAGTGACACTCAAGATGTCACTGTTTGGTTATGTTTTAATCTAGCAGTGACACACAAGATATCACTGACATGTTATATTTTAAACCGATAGCAACACTTACCACATAATTGCCACATCAAGCATCAGTCCGGTAGTGACGCTCATGGATATCACTATCGATTCATGTTTTGACCCGGTTGTGGTAGCGTATTATCACTACCGGGACATCAATTAACAGGCATCGATAGGCCACCCACATATTGTTGATTATCCTCTGCCAGAGTGTTGGTGAAAGGGGTAGTGTGGTGAAAGGGGTAACTTGACCACTGTAAGAACAAGATCTTGTTGGTGCTAGAAATAAAGCAAGTTGACCTTTGAAATTCGTGGCTCAAGATCCGAGTTCTTGTTGAGTTCTTGTTTGGTTTGGTTTTTCCTCTCCTGAAGCCCCTTCTCTTGCATTTTGGGTGATTTTGTTTTTTCCTGAGATTTGAGATCGATTGGGGTGGCTAGAAATGTGCAAGGACCTTAGAGGAACATGTCTACCAACTCGTTTGGTCAGATTCCTCACGAGCGCGATTTGGCTGGCTTTTGAGAAAAGTTAAGAAAACCCCTATCTGGTCCGGGAGAGTCTCGATTTATGGAGTTGCCTTGATCTTTTGGGGATAGTTTCTAAACTTCCTTTGGAACATCTCCACAAATTTTGAGCTCAATCGGTTCGTTTGATCGAGTTTTGGCTTCTTCTTTGTTAGCTCAGGCTGCTGAAAAGAGGCTGCGCGGAAGTTCCGTGCCAGCTTCCGTGCCTGAACAAGGAAGTTCTGCGTTCGCGCACTAGACTTCCGCGTTCAAGCGCTGAAGTTCTGCGGTCTGGGAGCTGATAATTGACCTCTGGTGGTTCTGAGGTGTTTTCTTGATTTGCTCTTGCTTCCGCTTGTTTTGTGGGCGTCCAGCAGTGCCCATGAACTTTTTCCAGTCCTCAAGTCACTAGTTGGCTTAGAGGATTTTGAGTCAACTCGTGCTTCATTATGATTGAAGTTCAGAGCTCCGTTTAAGCTTGGTTTTCTGCTGTTGTGAGTGTCCTGTGTTCTTCGATCATCATTGAGGACATCGAGCCACCAGTCCAACAGTAAAACACACTGCTCAGCAGTCAGCAACCATGCCAGTATGATTCACGATGAAGAATGCACACAACATAATTGACGTTTGACATAGTTCAGCACGAGCACGTCATAAAATAATAGTTGTTACATCGAACAAGCAAATCAAGCTAAGCACACATGTCCTGAAAACATGAATGAAGAAATTAAAGGTATAAAATCAATCGGCACACAGCTGAGAAAGAAATGCGAAAACAAGCACGAAGTTTCAAACAGACGAAGAAATCCATCAATACTACTGCAACAGCTCTCAGACTTTGGTCGATTACGAAGAAATCTCCTCGGTTATTATGTGGTCGACGTAAATTTCTGGCCTGGCGGATGCACGAGCAGCACTCTCTTTTCGTTCCTTTTCTCTGATTGCTTCTTCTTCTTCCTCCTGTTCTTTTCTTCTTTCTTCATCCCCTGGAGGCCCTGTCATGATGATCTTGTCAGCCAATGTCTCCAGCCCCATGGCTGACAAAGCAGCCAGACATAGTTGAGGAACTCCCCACCATGTCCCAGGCTTCTGGCGTGCAGGTAACCTGAGCAACGGGCCGCGGAGAAGCAGAGCATCTCAACCCACACACCATCTATCACTTGCCACCTGTCATCTGCCCCGAGGGCCCTGAGTGCCTCAGCAATCTTCTTCGCATGAATCAGCAGATGGCTGAACTTGTTGTCACCTTGCTTCGACGGTGGTAATATATCCTTGATGACACGCTGAGCTATACCTTGCGCCTTAGTCATGGGGACACCACCTTTGCTGTCACTTTTCTCCAAGATGGCTGCGATGTGGTCGCTGACTATGTTGAAGAGACCCGACCTGGCACCGGGCAGCAGCATCTCAGGACGGATGAAGAGCAGGTAGGCCATGTACTTGGATATCTTCCTTGAGAGATAAGCGTTGTGCTGCCGAGTCTTGTTGGTGCATGAGCCTTCATCTCCTGCTGCTGCTGCTGCTGCTGTAAACATAGATTTATCCTCGCAGTAGCATAGATCCGTGGCCACATGCCACATGAGGACACTTTCGTCGAATGGCGCCATTAAGCTTGAGGCCAGATCACTCACATGGCCAGTAGTGTCCATCTTGTGTTTGTGCTTGTTGAGTGTCCACTGTCCTCTGAGATTGTTGAATCCCCTGTAAGAGATAGGGCCATAGATGTAGCTGTTCCACCCATCCTTGACGTGCTTGCGCACACGGTCAGTGATGTCTCTGGCTGCCGGCTCCTGCTTGACATGCCAATGCTTAATGACGTACTCCCGTAAGTGGTAGGGCCATATGAACCTCCCAGTGGCCTCCTGGCAGGCACAGAATGACATGAGGCTGCCCTGGGAAACCATTTCATGCCAATTGGCATGGAACTTGCGATAGAAGGGCACAAAGGGGAAGAACTCATGCATAGCAGTGAAGCAGAAGAGCATGTATGTGACCCAGACGTCATTCACGTCGTAGCCACCCTTGTGGCTCTTGGCGAAAAGCACCACTGACGTCAGGGTCAGGAACGGGAGCGACAGCTGCAGGCATGTGCCGAGCAGAGTTACGGTTACCCGCCGTTTGGTGTAGAGGATCAGGAATGTGCCGTAGATGCACTCCTGAAGCAGCTTGTATGAGTCCGAGTGGCTGAACAGGAGGAAGAACTTCAACTCTTGGAGCCGATCGGAATACGGACGAGGCACGTTCACAAACATCTTGAATAGGAAACTGACAAGTGTGAAAACAAATCGCTCCTTGATTTTTTCACTCTTCTCGGCCCTGTCAAGGTGCCACCTTGCGCTTCTTACGAATTCTCCAAGAGAAGTCACATCTCGTCCGACTTCCCCTAATTCTGATTCTTCGTCTTTTTCAATGTGATCTACCCCTAATTCTCCTTCTGCTCCTGCTGCTGCTGCTGATGGCTCTTGGGGATAACTTTTTGTAAGGGAAAAAAACTCGTCCATTTTATCTGGACTGATAATATCCATAAAATAGGTAGTGCACCATCTCCAGCACCAACCAATCCGTCCTTCCTTCTCCACCCTTCTTTCCTTCTGCACCCTTCTTTCCATCTCCATCCTTATTTCCTTCTCCAGCATGTTGTTGAAGCTAGCTTGCTTGAGGGACCATGGCTTGTAGCTGAACTTGATGATGCCAACGACGAAGAGCAGGACCGCCGCATTTAGCAGCTGCCTCTCGCCCGACCACCAGTTGCAGAAGACGTACAGAGCCACCGCCACCTGGGAAATTACAGAAATATATATGCTGTGAATGTGATGAGTTACAAAAATAACACCTTATCATCGTCCAACCGTGAGGCGACTTCGGAAAGTCATTTTCTCCATCGGAGAACGACGAGATTAGCAAACGTCATCTATGTACCCAGAGAACGAAGATTATTACTAACGTCGTTTCCCGGTAGAACGATTCTATTTTTGCACAAAGCGAAAACAGTTTTAGTAAATCGTCTACCCAAGAGGCGATACTGAGATATCGTTCAACGACTTTGAGTTCCTCCAGCCATTCCCAATATAATGGTTTATAGAATTTCAAGCTTGTTTGAGCAATAATCGAAATATGTGTTAAGAGAAAATAGAGAAAGATTTCAATGTACTATAAAGTTGTATGCCCTTATTTGGCAGCAGTGTTACATTAGCACAAATATAACATTATGGCATGTCAAACTCGATGGAGCATTGCCTCCGATCCATTTTGAACGTCGACAAACCAAAATAAATTTTAGAATAGAAAATTATATTACAGTACTTGTGCATTTTAGTTGAACCTCATGTTTGCCCCCAGCTTCCGTACATAAAATTAAACAGAAAATAACAATTTGCAACGGCTTGTGCAGAACCCTACATTACTAAGGTAGAAGCACTTTTGTTAATCCTAACATGCAGGTGCCTTAGTTCCAAGAATTTAAATTACTGGATATAGTGTTAAATCTACTGGGTGACACAGTAGCTGCACCCCAAACAAACACTTCTATCTTCCAAACTAAGGATACCCTCAGCATGCGTCCCCTGATTCATGATATACACCCCCAAGCATTCCACTAGTTGTCGCCATTTCTTCCACGTGACATCATTCAATTCTGACCTGGGGGAGACCAGGATCATGGCGTGCCGCTTCCACAGCTCGTTGTCCTCTGCCCGCCGAGGTGGATGAGGAGGACCGGCGCCCAGAGCACCTCCAGGTCGCTACTGCCGCCGCCCCGGCCACAAGCCGACCGCCAGGGCGTAGATCGCCAGGGCATCCCCGCCTACATACACCGACCACACCAGGAACCTCAAGTTGCGCAGCTTAGGAGACCTGCGCACCGAATTGGCGAAGTAGAGGCTCACGTACACAAAGAGGCTGCCGAGCACCAGAACTCGCATCTGCCACTCCTGCCACCAATGCACAGCATGGGAGAGACCCATGCTTGGCTTGCGCGCGGTGACGTTGTTCTCTCTCGCGCGCCGGCCTCTAGCTCGAGCTCTGCCCTTTCTCGTGCTGGCTACAATAAGCCCCAAGGCGTACGTCAGCATGCAAACGACAACAAGCGCTTGCCTTGTCTATATATATGTGTAAAATATTTTAATTATTAATTAGTTTTCAAGGTGCGGGCCGGTATACGTTAGCATTAGTTACTGACACACGATATAAATGGTGATTCTTAGGCACCAACAGCCATCAACGGGTGCTCATACTATACATGGCCTAGTATAATCTCAGCACCATAAATAAAGGTGGCATAAACATTAGAAGTAGGTGTTTAATACCTACAACTAATAAATAATAACTTATCATTTTTTGCACTCCCTGTGTTCTTTTTCTAACCTATATATTAAAAGAAAATATTTTTCATGATTGATGAAACATAACGTATATATTTATTGTTCATAAAAGCATGTTTACTTAAGTCAATTTTTAATATTTGCTATTATTAGAAGTAGGTAGTGTAGAAATATATGTGATTTAAACATTTCTTGTATATAATATATAAGGCATTGATAATTTAGATGCAGATTTGAGTGGATATTTTAGTTTTCTTAATCATGTCAGAAATGGTAATTTAGATGCAAATATAATTTAAGGGTCCATCATAATTAATATGGAGGCTCTAATTAATAATAGTAAGATTGAGTGTATCTTAAAACAGCTAAGTAAACAAGCAAGAGCAGAAATCACATGTTGTGTCCAGTAACCTAACTGTTGCTTGTTCCTTGCGTGCGGTAATCATCGAAGGTCCACGTCTTTAATTACCTTTTTCTTTAAGAGATTCTTGAGCCCTATACTTTTGAATCTTTTGAAAATATAAATATAAAAGCTTTCACTGTTTTGCATCGAAGTCCTTCTACTGTTTTGCACTGGATGGGTAACGTAGCACTCCATCATCTTTCTTGCGCTCATCCAAAGCCCACCAGTGCATTAGCTATGAGTGCCTTGGGTTTGAGAACAAACGCCTCAAGCGATTGATCGGTGATAGGTACCATATAACCAATGTGGGGATTCTTTACGCCTCAAGCAACGGACAATGCGCTACACCGATTTGAAGTCCCGACCGGTTCTCCTGCACAAGGCCTCCTAGCGGACCGACCGTGGTAACTGGCGGTCCCACCGTGAGGGACTGGCTTGTGGGCCCGAGGCCCAAAAGCCTCTGCCGCTTGATCCGTTGGCTAAAGCCTACCAACACCGGACTAGTCCGGTCCTGGCAGTCCGACTGCCCTTCTAGCTGGTGCAGCCGTGACGATCAGCAGCAACCCATCTTCTTGCCTACACCTTCTACTTTACATCTTTTTGTTTCGGGTTTTTTCATCTTTACGTCTTAGACTCCTAGCTCCAATTTTAGGTTTTCAACAAGGGCTTCAATTATCTTGCTTGAGGTGTTGATCATCTAGTTCATAACTCTGCCTTGGTCCAAGTCCACTTTCACTACTGGAGATTGCCTCTTTGCCGAGGGCCTGAGGCCCTCGGCAAAGGCCCATTAACCCTCGGCAAAGGCTTTGCCGAGGGTGGCCCTCGGCAAAGAGCTCTCGCGGAATTTTGAGTCGGCGAAGAGGGTCTTTGCCGAAGGCCCTTTATCGGCACACTGGCAAAGCCTTTGCCGAGGGCTGGAGCAGCACTCGGCAAAGAAAAGAAAGCCGGCCACGGCGCCGGGCGCTGGGGACGGAGTCTTTGCCGAGGGCCGTCTCCGGGGGCCCTCGGCAAAGAATTATTCTTTTTTTTTTGAAAAATCTTTGCCGAGAGCCTCCAACCATGGCCCTCGGCAAAGAAATGTTGCAGAATTTTTCTAAAAAATCTTTGCCGAGGGCAATGGGACGGCCCTCGGCAAAGAATTATTCTTTTTTTTTTGAAAAATCTTTGCCGAGGGCTTCCCCGCAGGCCCTCGGCAAAGAAATTTTAATTTTTTTTAAAAAAGTCTTTGCCGAGGGCCTCCAACCATGGCCCTCGGCAAAGAAATGTTCCAAAATTTTTCCAATGAATCTTTGCCGAGGGCAATGGGACGGCCCTTGGCAAAGGACCCTTCTTTGCGGAGGGCCTTGGTCATTGCCCTCGGCAAAGAGGCAGAAATTTAAAAAAAAATTGTCTTTTTCATTCCATCGACACAAGCATTTCATATATATACATATATATATATCAACCATCACACATATATATATATATATCACACAAAACCCATTTTCTCACAATTAAAGCTACCAACCAACCAACCTCAACGAGCTGACTTTAAAAGCCTAAAACAAATGCAGTGGGTTATGGCAGAAAATAATATCAAAATTAAACTGGAAGGTATTTGTCATGAGGACTTCGTTTTCTATTGCACAGAAGCCCGACAAGGCCATGTGATTTTGCCACTAAGTGCTTCTCTTCTCTGATTTAAGAGGTACTCATATCACTTGCCAAAACAAATAAAAGATGTGGAACTTTAGTTCATTATAAATTTATAATAGTGACTCAACAAAATATTTATATTGAAGTCTAAAATGGGAGGCACCAAGGCAAGTCAAAATGCATATAAACCAAAATAGTTGTATTCAAATCAACTTCATGTTTCCCAACTCCTTTTCAGTAACTCAAGCTAAGTAGCTAGCAAGTAGCAACACTTTTTGAGTGGATCTGATCCTCGTCATCACGATATGGAATGCAGTGTTCAGACCTTGAGATTGTTTCCCTATAAAGAATTGCAAAGAGGGATTCCTTGAAGGATATATACCAATAAAAGAGCATGGCGTATGTTTTTTCCTACTGCTTTGGCTAACTGTGTTTGATGTTTCAGTCATTCAGACTGCATTGTAATATCACAAGAACTATATTTCTTTTTCTTTTTCCTCACAAAAAAGGAATTGTATTTCTGCTAAAACAAAAACAAAAGACCCTGTAAAGAAGGTACAGATGAAAAAGAAATCATGAACCCAGGAACTTTGCTGCTACAATGCTACTCAAATTACCAGCTGAAAAAGACATTGGGCATTGTTCTTCCAACATTTTTAGAGTATTATATTTTCCAGCGTATGGGGAACAGTGAAAAAAAAGATGGGGCCAATTTTACCTTGGTTGATTTGCGCAGGGTAATTGAGGAAGGGGAGTGAGGCCTTGGTGAGGCCATTGGAGCCCATGAGCACGTCCGAGAGCCGGGTTCAACATATGCTTCACGAAAAACCCTGCACAAACGTAAAGTACCAGCTGAGCGCCTGAGCTGCAGGCACACGGCGAAACAATTCAGAAACGCATAGCAGCAAGTGATCACTTGCACTTCTTGCAGGTGGTACAGATGGAGGCATGCATGCATTGTAGTGCAGTCACAAGGTCACCTGAACTGAAGCCTCCTGTACATGTACTCCTGGAGCAAGACAAGAGCATGAATTAGCTAGCCACCAAAGATGATAATGTAACTGGGAGAATAATCGTGAGCTGAAAAAGTTTCACTGTCAAGAAAATTTATGCAGGAAGCGAAATTAAAGCATGGGGAAATTCTTCCAGGCAATTCAGAAAACCATGCTGACCAAGCAAGCATATAAAAGTCCATGACAACGGAAGCAAAAGGAGGGAAGCAAAAAATAGTGTATCTATGAGTTAAATCAACTTGAGAATATCTAGACATGTGGATCACAAGATCAGTAAGCTAAGGTTGCCTTAATCTCAGTTCAATATCCCTTCAAAAAAGGATAATAAGTTTATTATGTCCCTGGAACTAAATCATTGACCTAAAAAAAGAATGAAAGCATGAATCAGTTCTTTAGCAAAAAACACAACCACAAGATGCAAGCAACCACAGGCAACCTCTACTGAAAAAATCACTACAATAGAGAGAAGATTTCAAATTTGAGCTAATTATCATACAGAGTACAGGACCATCCTGCTTGTTGCATATTAGAAAAGGGAATGGACATGATCTATTTACCTGTATACCATTGCACACACTGGTTGCAGTACCCTAATTATTAGATAACCATGTACCCTTTTAACACCAATTAAAACATTTTCAATAATGATTCTCTTTCTGTATAGCAAACCATCTTTAAATGATTCTTAAATTATCCTAAATTATTCCTTATGCACACATAAAATTATTCTCATCTATTAAGCGCTCTTTTTGTTTTGCAACTCCAGCAACTCCAAGGCACTAAACTGGTAGGCGCTAAGCTATATGGATTACAAGAGTCAAAATACATGTAAAAAAATGGATCATCTGAGCCATTTCAACAAACACGTTGTGTGCAAGTGGGTCATACCATTGTCACTAATCAGATCCTCTTTATCAACAGCTCCATCACCAGTCTCAACTCCAAATACAAAATGTGATTTGGAACTGAAAGAAGCTTATTTATATGCAAAAAAAGAATCTCTACAGCGAACTGAAATAAATCAATATATCACTGCAGTTACGATGTGATTTCTAACCAAGCATAAACCTCAATTATTTTGACAGCTCTGAATTTATAACTACAATCAGAATTTATATCAACAAAATGGAAACTTGAAGATACCACCCTAACTTGAAATGAATATGCTTGATGAAGTGGCACAAATAAGTAATCTGAAGCAAGACTGGCTAGGCAAGTCAAGGTCAGCAAAGACTCCAAACATGCCCTGTATCACCAGCCATGTAAACACGTCAACCCCTCCTATCTTCTGTCCTCACCATCTGGAAAATTATGCACCTCATGTGAGTTAAGAATTTCCTACTGTTTACAACAGTGTGCAGGGGAAAGGATATTTATGCTAGTGTCTTGTATATGGTGGAAAATTCTCAGACAACAAACTGCATCCTGATAAAAAATAGAACAAAAGTACAGAACACTTTCTAGTATGTCAATTGTAGACTGAGTCAAAATTTGCAAGCAATTTTATTGAATTAAAGAGCTAGTATGTCAATTGTAGACTGAGTCAAAATTTGCAAGCAATTTTATTGAATTAAAGAGCTACTTTGCTAGCT